AAAATTTTAATAGTAAAGAAAAACTAAATGAATTTATAAATAATAAGCCAGCATTACAAAGAATATTAAGAAGGGGAACAAAACTTTAAGAAAGCAATCAGGAACAGAGATTCTCGTCAGACAGGTATTACTAGATGTCCAACTTAGTAAGCAGAGGAGGAAAGGAAAGAAGAAAAACTTAAGAAAACAGGAAGTGACAGGAAACATAATGCATCTCCCTATAATAACCATAATTATTAATGGGCCCAACTCACCAATCAAAAGAAAAAGAACTGCAGATTGGATCAGAAAACATGACCCATCCATCTGTTGCCTTCAGGAGACCCATCTCACAACCAAACAAAAAACTCTGAGTGAAGGGATGGAGGAAGATCTACCATGCAAATGCTCCCAGCAAGAAAGCAGGATTGCCATTCTGATGTCTGACAAAATAAACTTTTCATTAAAATCAACACAAAAAGACAAAGGAGGACACTAAATATTAATACGGGGAATAATCCAAGAAGAGGATATGACTATTATCAACTTATACTCTCCAAACATTGGAGCACCCAAATATGTGAAGCAAATACTCTCAAACTTACAGAATAAAATAGATCCTAATACTATAATACTAGGAGACTTTAACACTCCACTCTCACCAAAGGACAGGTCTACCAACCAGAGGATTGGCAAAGAAGCTACCGAATTAAGTGAGGCCATACTTCAAACAGAACTAATTGACATCTACCGAGTTTTCCACCCTAAAATGACCCAGTACACATTCTTCTCAGCAGCTCATGGAACTTTCTCCAAAATAGACCATATCATAGTTCATGCAAGGAACTTAAGCAAATACAAGGAGATTGACATAATGCCCAGTATCCTATCTGACCACAGTGGAATCAAGCAAGTTCTCAATAACAAAGCATACCTCAGAAATTACTCAAATACTTGGAAATTAAACAGCACACTTCTGAGCAACACCTGGGTAATAGAAGAAATTAAAAAGTTCCTACAATTCAATGAAAATGAAGATACATCACAAAGAAACCCGTGGGACACAGAAAAAGCAGTCCAGAAGGGCAAATTTATTGCCATCAGTGTCCACATCAAGAAAATAGGGGCAGACCAAGTAAATAATTTCATGTTGCAACTCAAACTGCTAGAAAAGCATGAAAAAATTGAACCTAAAGTTACTAGACAAAGTGAGATAATCAGAATAAGAGCTGAAATGAACAAGATAGAAACTAACAAAATTAATAAAACAAAAAGCTGTTTTTTAAACAAAATCAATAAAATTGATGGACCTTGGCAAGATTAACTAAAAAAGAAGAGAGGAAGCCCAAATCAATATGATCAGGGATGCCACAGGAAAAATTACAACAAATACCCAAGACATCCAAACAATTTTAAAAAATTATTTCCAGAATCTATACTCACTAAGGAAAGAAAACCTAGCCGAAATGGACGAACTTTTAGAGAAATACAAAGACCCCAACTGAACCAAGAAGATATGAATCAATTAAATAAGCCAATATCTTACAAGGAGAAAGAGGAAGCAATCAGAAGTCTTCCAACAAGGAAAAGCCCAGGCCCAGATGGATTCCAAAAAAGAGAACTACAGACCAATCTCCTTGATGAACACAGATGCAAAGATCCTTAACAATATTCTAGCCAACAGAACCCAGAAACACATAAAGAAAATCATACATTACCACCAAGTAGGCTTCATCCCAGAGATGCAGGGATGGTTTAAACATATGTAAATCAATAAATATAATCCATCACATCAACAGATCCAAGGGCAAGAATCACATGATTATCTCTATTGATGAAGAAAAGGCCTTTGATAAGATACAACATTCATTCATGCTAAAAGCTCTGGAAAAAATAGGAATAGAAGGAACATTCCTTAAACAATAAAAGCCATATATGACAGACTAACATCTAATATTATACTTACTGGAGAAAAACTACAACCAATTCTCCTAAAATCAGGAACAAGGCAAAGATGCCCCGTCTCCACTCCTCTTCAATATAGTTCTGGAACCCTTAGCCAAGGCATTAATGCAAGAAAAAGACATGAAAGGGATCCACATAGGGAAGGAAGAAGTTAAACTATCCCTTTTTGCAGATGTCACAAAACTATATCTCCATAATCCCAAAAACTCCACCTCCAAACTCTTAGAACTTAGAAACCGCTTCGGCAAAGGATAGAAAATCAACCCACAGGGCTGGGAAGGTGGCTCAGTGGTAGAGCACTTGCCTTGCATGCCTGAGGCCCTGGGTTCAATTCCTCAGCACCACATAAGCAAAAAGAAAAAAGCCGGAAGTGGCACTGTGGCTCAAGTGGTAGAGCGCTAGCCTTGAGCTGAAGAGCTGAGGGACAGCACCCAGGCCCAGAGTTCAGGCCCCATGACTGGACCCAAAAACAAAAAACAAAACGAAAATCAACCCACAAAAACCAGTTACCTTTCTATACACCAACAGTGTAAAAGCAGAGAGGGAACTCAAGAAAACAACCCCATCTCTCCCATCTTGTTTAGGTCAGGAAAGCCCTCAGATTTAAGAATGAAGTGAATGCTCCCACTGCCCAGCTGACCGCCTGTGGCCAGGGAAGACTTTAGTACTCTTTGCTTGCTTGGGTGTTTGTTTACTGGAATGTATGTGTTAACCTGAAAAAAATTAGTTGTTTTAAAAACCTGGGGGGAAATAGATAGGTGATAACAACCCTGGGGAACTTTTGCATCTCTGTTTACTGCCTGGCTTGTGTCCAATCGTAGGTGGTTAAAGTGCACAGGACCAGGGTAAGAGTGCTTGGTTTACGGTGATTGATGTTCAAACAGCTGTTTTACGGTGTGCAAGAGCAGGATGGGCTAAGACCTATGCTGCCATCTTGTGGTCAAGATGTGAAACGGGGAAGAGAATGGCTTGGTCCTCACCGAACTGCAGAATTGTTGGTGCCTTTGCACAACTTAGCAAAAGCCATCCTACATTTGAACACACTCAGACACCACACGTGCCAACACATGTGCACTCACACACACACGCACTCACACACACGCACACACGCGCACGCACACACACACGCACACACACGCACGCACGCACACACTCACACACCTTTCCTCTTTGGCTTTATTAGTTTTGATTTCCTACAAACCATATTTTTCATTTTTCACTTTTTCTCTTCTCCGCTTGTGAGCCCCTCATTCAAATGAGTGAAATTCGTTTTCAAATGTAATTAAACACAGAGAAAGAAACTAATATAGCTATTGTTTCCTATGTATCTAATCATCGGTCTGTCTGTCTATTAACAGGAATCCCAATCTGTAGCATAGCCAACTTGGCACTATGGATTCTCCCACCTCTACCTCCTGGGTTCTAGGATTACAGCCATGTGTCACCATGACCACCATAAAACATCGAAACTTTTTATTTTGTTACTTGTGGGGCCTGGGCGCTGTCCCTGAGCTCTTCAGCTCAAGGCTGGCACTCTACCACTTGAGCCACAGTGCCACTTCTAGGTTTCTGGTGGTTAACTGGAGATGAGATTCTCACAGAATTTCCTGCCCAGACTGGCTTTGAACTGCCATCCTCAGATCTCAGTCTCTTGAGTATCTTGGATTACAGGCGAAAGCCGTGGCTCCTGGTGACATCAAAATGTTTGTGGTATGGCATGGTTGTATTTCTTGAGAATATTTACAGATCTCCAAGGGAGGTTTCTCAACCTCCCAACTCCATCTGCCTTCCCTACATTAACATTTAAAGAAAAATCAAAGTGATTCAAACATCATTTGATATTTGAATGTTAAATCCAAAACATAAGGAGATACAACAAAGTAAACAAGACTCGAGGAAGAAAAGACCCCCAGTCATCTGGTCAAATGATTACTAAATGACCCCATGCTGCTGACCACATATATGGTATACATGAGGGAAACTAGGAGGAGGACACGAAGTAGAGGGAAGTGGGAAAACATACAACAGGGGGACCCAGCGGCTGCACTGGACGTTGATCAAATTGACCTAAGCAACTCAAGGGCAGCATGGGAGGAGGGAATGAGCGGGAAAGCGCACACAGCTGACACCAAGCAAAAGGAAAGAAATGTGGAAGCAATAACTGTATTGTCAAAGCTCATAAACTTCTTTGGGGGGTTATCTAAGTTACATTTATTTCCCTTACCAAGGTTTTAATTCAAGGTTTCAATTTTTTTAGTTTTTTAAATTTATTATCTTTAAGTAGCTGTACAAAGAAGTTTCTATTCTACAAATTATTTCTTCCACATCAGGTGATGTTCACGTTTCTTTCCTTTTGCTTAGTGTAAGCTGTTCCCTCTTTCCCTCATTCTTCCCTTCACATCTCTTGTCTTTGGGTTGCTTAGTTCTGTTTCTTCTAGGTCCAGTGCAGCTGATGGGCCTCTTGGTTGTATGTTCTTCCCTTTCCCACTTACTCTGTGTCGTCCTCCTGGCTTCCCTCCATTGCATGCTTGTATATACCATATGTACGATCAAGAACATGGAGGCAATTAGCAATGATATGACAAAATATAGAACTCAAACTTCATAGACCACGATAAAGACAATTTGCCCCATGAAGGTGAGAATGTGTGTGTGACTTTATGTATCACTATCTCGCCATACAGAATGAAATTTGTGATCACTTAATCACAATCAAAAATTGCTAAAAAAATATACCAGAAAAATAATGAGTATGCTACTATGGAGGTCATTTGTAAAATATCATCACTACCACACTGTGCTAATAGAAAGCCACGCCGCCACTCTCATCATCTTTGTGAAGGATTTATTGTTTGCAGTAACCACCCCATGCCCCCCTCCCCTGGAAACCGGTGAACGAACGCTGAGCTGGGCCTAGAGGACGGAGCGGCTCCCCGCAGCCTCTGCCCTGTCTGCCTCTACTCAGCCCCCCGCTGCTGTGTCCCCTGTCCCCAAGCTCACGTCGGTGGGCAGCGGCCTGCTGCTGCAGGCGACCCCGCCAGGTCTGCCGACGGCAACTATGTCAAACTCATCATTTGAGTGAGTCTATAGAAGAAGGGGAGGGGGCGCTTGCTGCCCGGGGCTGCAGGCTCTGGGGGCTGCTGCAGGTCGGGCGGCGGTGGCACCCTCTGCTCTAGGGTGGGGTTGTCCACCACAGAGGGGCCACACGCCCCCGCTTCTCCTTGCTCAGCCTCCATGTTGTCTTCAGGCTGCTCCTCCTCAAAGCCTAGCTGCTCCTCCGCAACCCTCTCCTCGGGGCCCGGCGGGTCTGCAGGTGTCTCCGCAGCAGGGGTGAGGGCGGCGGCCGGCCTCGTGTCCCCGGCCTCTGTGCCCTGCCCTGCCAGGCGCAGCAGCAGCTCCTGCAGCTCCTTCTTCTTCTCCCTCTTCTCCTGCATCAGCCGGCGGATGCGCTCTTCCTTCTCGCGCTGCAGCTCATCCAGGACGGCCATCTGCTGTTCACAGGATGCCATCTCCTCCTCCATGGCACCGATGCGTTCTGACAGCAGGCTGCAGCGACGGGAGAGGTCGTCCGCTGGACTCTGCTGGTCCACCTGGCCAGATAGGTCGTAGGTGAAGCAGATCTTCAGCCGCTTCCTGGGCCCCTGGCTGTCCTGCTCTCCCTCCCCAGGTGCGCCGTGGTGCCAGCTCTTGGGGTAGAGGGCCTGGCGCGCCAGCTCTGTCTGGCACTGGGCTGCCAGGTGGGCCAGGCCCTCGCAGCGGGCCTGCTGCTCCTGCAGCTCACGGCTGAGCTGCGCCTTCTTAGATTCAGCGATGGACAGTGCTGCACAGTAAAAATCCCACATGATATGTGGGTTGTCCACGTCCTCTGGGACGGTCACAGCAGGGGGAGCCGCCTCCTCCCCCTTGTCCCCTCTGCTCACTCCTTCGCCTTCTCTAGGGAGAGCCAGGAGACTCAGCTGGGCCCGCAGCTGCGCATTCTCCTGCCTCGTGGCTTCCAGGCACGTCAGTGTGTCCTGGAACTTTGGAGGCACCGTCCGGTCCTCCAATGTGCCCTGCACCTGCCTCTGCTGCAGCTGCTCCAGCCGCTGGGTCTGCCTCCACAGGTGCTGCTGCAGGGCCTCCTTCTCCATGCTCAGCTGCTGATGGGCGGCCAGGTGCTGCTCACGGGTGGCTCTGAGCTCCTGCAGCTGGGCCAGGGACCGGTCCTGCAGCTCCTGGGCCTCTTGGCGCTTGAACTCAGCCATCTCCTTCCATTCTTTGAACGTCTCCTCCTGCTGCTCCAGCTTCTCCTGCAGATGTTTCTTCTCCTGCTGCTCGGCGTGCAGGAGTCCGGCGAGCGACTCCCTCTCAGTGCTCAGCCTCTGCCAGGCGTCCTGCAGCTGGGCCAGCTGCTCCTTCAGCTCGCGGTTGCACTCCAGCGTGCGTCTCTTGGTCTCCTGCTCCTTCTCCATGGTCTCCAGGATCTTGCGCCGGTCCTCGGCATGCTGATCCCATTCTTCTGCTTTCTTCTCCAATAGCCATAGCCGCTGCTGCTGCTCCAGGCTCTGAACACGAAGGCTCTGGTTCTCCTCCACCTGGAGGTGAAGTTGCTCCTCCAAGGTCTCGAGCTCCTTCTGCAACTGCAGGGCCTGAGCCTGCAGCTGCTGCTCAGCCTGAGATGGCCCCGCAGGGCGCTGCAGCTCTGCCAGCTGCACTCTCAGCTCCACCAGCTCGCCCTCCAGCGCCAACACCTGCCTGGCCCCTTGCTCTTTCTCCTCTCTCAGCCTGCCCACCTCCTCCAAGAGCTGCTGGGCCTTCTCCTTCCCCATAGAGCTCTCCACCCTCAGGTCCTCCTCCAGAGAGTCTCTCTCCAGCTTGAAGGTGGTGGCCAGCTCTCTCATGCTCTTGAGTTGTCTTTCCAACTCTGCGCGCTCCACCAGCGCCCGCTGGCACTTGTTGATTTGGATCTTCATGTTGGCCTTCTGCGCCAGGAGCGCGTCCAGCCTGTCCCGCAGCTCGGTGTTCTCGTCCTCCAGGTCTTCACTGCTTCTGCTCTTCTGCTGGAGCTGCAGCGTCACGCGGTTCAGCGCTTTCGTGAGCTCCAGGTTGTTGAGCTCCGTCTCACTCTGCGTGGTGGAGACAGCAGACAGCTTCGTCTCCAGCTCTTCCACGCGCTGCTGCGCGGCCTGCAGGCGGCTGGTGAGCCCCTCCTGCTCCAGCGCCGTTTCCTGGGCCCCCTGCTGCAGGTGGGCCAGGGCGGCCTGCAGATCTAACTTTTCCTCCACCCACCTCTGTGCCGACAGCTGGTGCTGCTGCAGCTCTGCTCGCAGGGCCTCGTGGGCACAGGCCAGCGTCTCCAGCTCCTTCCCCTGCCGATCCTGGAGGGCTTCCTTCTCCTGCTTTAGTTGTTGGATCTCACTGCAGAGCCGCAGGAATTTGGCGGAGTCCAGGGCCAGCTCCGGGTGTTGGTCACCTCCGTCCATGTCCCCGGTGTGACTGGGGCCGGTGCCACTCTTACCCAGGGCTGCTCCGCCCGTGCCCAAAGGCCAGGGAGGCTGGTGGTCAGCGATGTCTCTGGTCGGACCCTCGGTTGGATGACCGTCCCCAGTGGTGTTCGTCTTGGGGTTCCCTCCCTTTTTGGTCTTCTTCCTTTTCTTGGATTCTCCAGGTCCGGCCGGACCCTTCCTCTGCTGGTATTTCTGCAGTAGTTTCTTTCCTGCTGCTACCTTTTCTCGTCTGGTTTGTTCGGACATGCCAGCGCTGGGACGGGGAAGATGTGGGGGCCACATTCCCAGGCTGTCTGCAATCCCCTCTACTCTCCGATCACCTCCTCTACTCTCCAATCAATCACCTCCAACTCCGTCTCCTTCCTATGTGTCGCCAAAACCACCTCGATTCGCCAAAGCACCGCTAGCACCTCCACCTCTCTCGACTGCTCCTAGCGGTGTGAGCCGAGAGAGGAGAACGCCAGGGCTTCTGGGCTGCATGGAGTGTGGGCGTGGCCTCCATTCTGACCTCCCATTGGTCAGAGAGAAACACGAAAGCTAGGGGGCGTGGCCAGGCGATTGTGATCCAGGCAGGATGGGTGGAGTCACATCGAGAGCTGCTCCTGTAGCCCCTCCCCCATGCCCCCCTGACCGGTTTGGTTGGGGGGAGGGTCGGACCTGCTTTAGCTGGATAGGTGCATAACCTTTCCAAGTCACCTTTCCTGGCTTCCATCACACGACTATGGTCACCAGAGTTTCCCCCACATTTCAAATGGCCCTTCAGGAAGTGATGCCAAAAAACACAGCTCTGCCCACATGCATGTCTTCTTGTCTTCCCCTCATGCAGATTTCGTCCTATTGTTTTGATAGCATTGGCTGATCAGGGAGCCTCTGAAGTTCATCCTCCACATTACCTGCTCTTCCAGCTGCTCTGGGATAGCACGGGTCCAGGGCTCTCTGTATGAATATCCTCCGCATTGCACACCTAGGCCACACATGGACAATGGGTATTTGAGGCAGTGGAAATCCATCTTCTGTATGCATTTCAAGCAGCACATGTGCCACCCAGTCTGTGTGGTGACCTCAGAGGATTCAGACACACGATCCTGGCAGGAGTATGGCTCCAGGATCAAGTCACAGTGCAGATCAGGAACAATCATGACACAGGGAGAGGTGTCTGGATGAACACTAATCAGAACACCAATCTCGCTGGAGGGGGTCAAATCTGCACCATCATTGAGAGAAGTAATATAACTGGCTGATGACTGAAAACCAGTCTGTTAGGTGAGCAATCTGCTCCAGTCACATCCAAGTGATGTCCAGTGTGTCCGGGATCGAGGCTCTGGCCCAGCCCTGTACACTGCATAGGCCTTGCACATCAGTCTTCTCTGGCACTCGGGTGACCGGCTGTCCTGTAATGCTTGATGGGTCTTAATTAGGCACTGAGCGCATGCCTATGGCACAGCCACCCTTGGTCTTTTCATTTTGAGTGACCAGCTGTTCCTTCCATTGGAAAACTTGTGTGCTGGTTGTGGGGTTCACACCTGCAATCCCAGCAGGAGAATCCACCATGGGTTCCAAACAAGCCTGAGCTGCATAGCAAGTTCCAGGCCAGCCTGAGCTACAGACCCTCAGACTGGGGCTGCTGTAGCAAAGCCCAGGGGTTTGCGGGGGGACTCACGCCCCACGCCATCTTGGCTCCCACTCATGGCACGTATGACTCGCAACACATGCAGATTGGCGGTGGTGGTGACTGTAAATCCAAACAGGCAAAATGTGGAGTCCACCCAAACAGCACCAGCAAATGCACTGTTGGCTAGAGAACCGGGAGGTAGATGGAGGTATAGAGCCAATTAGGAAGAGAGGGCTTAACCAGAAGCTGGCATGGGACTCCGCAGACAGCTCAGTGGGGGAGCTGGCAGGACAGAGGGACGAGGGCCTGCAGAGTGGGACTCGGGCGCTGTTTCCCTAGAAATCATTTCCAACTTCCATTACTTTTCTTGTGTTTCATTTTTGTGTTTTGTCCATTGTGAGGCTTGAAGTCGGGGCCTGGGCGCTATCTCTGAACCTCTTAGTGCTCAAGGCGAGCTCTCTACCACTTGAGCCACAGCTCCCCTTCCAGTTTTTGAGTGACTTATTGGAGAAAAGAGTCTCACAGGGACTTTTGTGTCCATGCTGGCTTTGAGCTATGATCCTCAGATCTCAGCTCCTGAGCACTAGGATGACAGGCATGAGCCACAGGTACCTGGCTCCAACTTCTATTATTTATTACAGGTTTACTTTGGATATTTTTGGGGGTCCGGTCGTGGGGCCTGAACTCTGGGCTTGGGCGCTGTCCCTCAGCTCTTCAGCTCAAGGCTAGCGCTCTACTACTTGAGCCACAGCGCCACTTCCGGCTTTTTTTCTTTTTACTTATGTGGTGCTGGGGGATCGAACCCAGGGCCTCATGCATGCAAGGCAAGTGCTCTACCACTGAGCCGCCTTCCCAGCCCCTAGTTTGGATTTTTTTAAAAAACAACTCCCTTCCTGAAGAAGAAAAGTAGGCAGGGAATCTTGTTGTTTCTTCTGAAGGTAATCAAAGCTCATGTCATTCCTCCTGCATCTGTAGTTTGTCGTAGCCCATGGGAAACAGGTTTCTGTGAGTGCAGTGAAAGACAGCAGAGGGAGGAAGAGAGGCTGGGGTGGTGGGGAAATCTCTGGGAGGCCAGTCAACGTGATCACCTCCAGGACCGAAGATCCCAAGGTTGGCAGAGCTCCCAAGAAGAAAGCTATGGGGGCTGGGAATGTGGCTTAGTGCTAGAGTTCTGGTGTAGCATGCATGAAGCCCTGAGTTGGATTCCTCATACCACATACACAGAAAAGGCCAAAGGTGCTGCTGTGTTGTGGCTCAAGTGGTAGTGTGCTAGCCCTGAACAAAAGAAGCTCAGGGACAGTGCCCAGGCCCTGAGTTCAAGCCCCAAGGCTGGCAAAAAAAGTCGAAAGATGTAGAATGTCTGGAGATGAAGGAAAATGATCAAAGCATTCCTTCACAGTCCAGTGCACCCCAGGGACCACTCCTTTTATGAGGCCCCTCACCAGGGACTCTGAAGCTTTATATCTTGCTTCCTTTCCTTTCTTTTCCTTTCCTTTCCTTTCCTGCCCTGCCCTTTCCCTTTCCCTTTTCCTTTTCATTTTGCTTTCCCTCTGTTTCTTTTTTATCAGGCATGGAGCTTGAAGTCTGGGCCTGAGCACTGTCCCTCAGCTCTACAGCTCAAGGCAGGTGTTCTACCAGCTGAGCCACAGCGCCACTTCCAGTTTTCTGGTGGCTAATTGGAGATAAGAGTCTCACAGAGTTTCCCGCCTGGGCTGTCTTTGAACCGTTCTCCTCAGACCTAAGCCTCCTCTGTAGCTGGGATTGCAGGCGTGAGCCACCCATGCCTGCTCTTGTTCTTCTCAGGTAATTTTTATTATTATTATGAAGGTGAAATGCAGGGGCTCTGGCCACATTTCTTTTCAGACAGTGTCACCCTCCTCTCACTCAGTATCTTGCTCTTTGATTATTTTTTTACAGTTTAGTTTGCGTTTGGTTTCCTGTTGTCTTTAATATTGGTAAAGTTAAACCTAACCAAACAAAACCTTGGAATGTGGTTTGAATTCAGATGGTGATGGAGTTGAAAAACTTTTCTTGTGTATGGGGTGCTGGAGAGGACAAACTTCCTCACGGAAACACCACTGAAAATGGGAGCTGCTGGTCCCGCCCTGGCCAGACGGGAAGAAGAGCGAGGCACAGCACCCCCTTCATCCTGGCCATTCCTCGCCTCACTCTGTACCCCAACTCCCGAGGTGGGGTGCAGGGGGCGGTGGAGTGGCAGACAAGAAGGCAGTTTTGACAGGAAAGGAAACCTTCCCAGGAAGATGGTCACATGCTAGCTAGCATGGGAGCGTGCCAGTCAAGGCTTGAAGCGCGGCCAAGGAAAGGATGACTGAAGAGAGTCAACTTCGTGTCCGGAAAGCCCTCAGATGGAAGGTGAAGTGAATGCCGCCCCTGTCCGCTGACCGCCTGTGGCCTGGGGAGACTTCAGTACTCTGCTTGCTCGGGTGTTTGTTTCCTGGAATGTACGTGTTTTAAAAACCTGGGGGTGGGGGAGGAATAGATGGGAGATAACAACCCTGGGGAAACTTTTGCATCTCTGTCTACTGCCTGGCTCATGTCCATCACAGGTGCTTACAGTGCACAGGACCAGGTTCACAGTGATGGATGTTCAAACACCTGTTTTACTGTTTTAGCAGGACCAGCTAAGACCAATGCTGCCATCTTGTGGTCAAGATGTGAGGCTGGCAACAGAATGGCTTTTTCCTCTAGGAGCTGCACAATTGTTGGTGCCTTTGCACAGCCTAGCAAAAGCCATCCTGCATTTGAACACACTCAGACACCACACATGCCAACACACGCGCACACGCACACACACACACACACATGCACACACACACACACTCACTCACCTTTTGTCTTTTGCATCATTACTAAATTGTTTTCCTACAAAGCCTTTTTATTTTCATTTTCACTTTTTCTCTTCTCCGTTTGTGAGCCCCTCATTCAAATGAGTGAAATTCATGTTTTCAAATGTAATTAAACACAGTGAAATCAGTATGATAACTATTCTTTACTATATATCTAATCATCTGTCTGTCTAGTAATGGGTGCACCACTCCTTAGTGTAGCCTAGCTTGGAACTATGGATTGATTCTCTTGCCTTTACCTCCTAGGTTCTGGGATTATAGGCATGTGTCACCATGAACAGCATAAAACATTAAAACTGCTTTTTTCCTTGTCAGTGATGGGTCTTGGGCGCTGTCCTTGAGCTCTTTAGCTCAAGGCTGGCACTCTACCACTTGAGCCACAGGGCCACTTCCGGTTTTCTGATGGTTAATTGGAGATGAGAGTCTCACAGACTTTCCTGCCCAGGCTGGCTTTGAACTGCCATCCTCAGATTTCAGTCTCCTGAGTATCGGATTACAGGCGTGAGCCGCTGTGCCCGGCTACATCAAAACTTTTGTGGCATGGCATGGTTGTCTTTCTTTAGAATTTCTACAAATCTCCAAGGGAGGTTTCTCAACCTCCTTCCCCACACTAACATTTAAAGTAAGATCAGAGTGATTCAAACATCATTTGATACATTTTATGTGTCTGATGAAGGAAAACCAGTTGGGTGAACAGCAGCTGACAAAATTGATTTCGTAAAGATGACGTGTTGAGGGCAGCAGCGGAAGAGACAGACGTCTCTGCAGATAGGGTTTTTCTTTTAAAGCAACGTGTCTGAATT